CCACTAAAGTGGAAGATTTATTTGGTTCGTTGGAGGCGCATGAGATGAGGATTGCCAAAAGGAAAGGAGTTCAGGACTCGATACAGGAACTGCAAGCTCAATCATGGAAAAAAGATGTTGGTTCCAAAAAATTCAAAGGCAAGTTCGACAAGACTCATGGCAAGAAGTCTTGGTTGAATTCCCATAAGAATAAGGTCGAAGATAGATCTTCTGAATCCTCGAAAAGGGGAGGCGGAAACTATCGAAAATACAAAGAAGATAAGAAAGGTATGCAGTGTTATAACTGCGAAAAGTGGGGACACTTGGCCAAGAATTATTGGTACAGAAAAGACAAGGGATCGAAAGGCAAGGACGAAGGAGCGAACCTTGCACGCCAAGATTCAGATGATTCTGAAGGTGGTATAATGGTTATGGCTGCAGTTGCAGATAACCATGTTGAATCTAATATCTGGTTTCTCGACCCAGGTTGCTCGAACCACATGACTGGTCAAAAGGAGTGGTTGGCAGATTTTGACGATTCGAAGAAGAGCAAGGTAAAACTTGCTGATAATAGTTCGTTGCAAGCAGAAGGTACTGGAAACACAGTCTTTCAAATGAGTAATAGAGGGAAAACTATGATCAAAGATGTGCTCTATGTACCTGGAATGAAATGCAACTTGTTAAATGTTGGACAACTAGTTGAAAAAAGTTTCTCAGATGTCATGAAAGATGGAGTTTTGAAATTGTTCGACACTAAGAACAATTTGGTTTTAAAATCTCCATTGTCGAAGAACAGGACATTTAAGACTATGATCAGTTCGACAGAAGTTTAATGTTTGAAAACTGTTGTCGACCACAAGGATAGTTGGTTGTGGCATTTGAGGTTTGGACATTTGAATTTTCGATCACTTAATCAACTGATTACTCAAGATATGGTTACTGGTATTCCAAGTCTTGAGATGCCTGAAAAACTTTGTGAAGGTTGTTTAGTGGGAAAGCAATCCATAAATTCTTTCGTTTAAACTATTCCAATGAGATCATCCTGCATTCTCGAAGTGGTGCATTCAGATGTATGTGGTCCATTTAAAGAACATACAATTGGTGGAAACAGATATTTTGTTTCCTTTGTCGATGAGTTTAGTCGAAAGCTATGGATCTATGTGATCAAACGAAAGGACGAAGTATTCAAAATCTTTAAGAGATTCAAGATACTTGTCGAAAACCAGAGTGAGAAGAAGATCAAAGTTCTACAAACAGATAGAGATGGAGAATACCCATCCAAGATGTTTAAAGATTTTTGTGCAGAACATGGTGTTGATCATGAGGTAACTGCTCCTTACACACCTCAACATAATGGAATTGCTGAAATAAGAAATAAAACCATATTAGATATGGCAAGATGCATACTGAAGCAAAAGAATTTGCAAAAATCTTTATGAGGAGGAGTTGTTTCAACTGCAGTTTATATTTTGAATAGGTGTCCTACTAAGATATTGAAGAACAAGGTTCCTGAAGAAGTATGGAGTGGCAAACGACCATCAGTAAGTCACTTGAAGGTGTTTGGCTCTATGTGTTACAAGCATGTTCCTGATGCAAGGAGAAGGAAGTTTGATGACAAGAGTGAACCTATGATTCTGGTAGGATATCATAAAACTGGTGCATACAGACTATTCAATCCAGTTAATGAAAATATTGTGTTGAGTCGAGATATTGTGATTAATGAAAATTATGCCTGGGATTGGAATTCTAACAATTCAATTAACAAATCATTAATGAACTTTGATTTCGACAAAGAAACTAATGAAGTAGAGGTCGAAGGAATTGTTGAGAATCCAGTCGAAGTCGGAGAGGAAGCGGTTGCTGACACTCCCGTCACAGTTGAAGTCGAAGAGTTTGTGGCTGAAACAAGTCAAAGACCTCAAAGAAATAGAGTTCTTCCAACAAGACTTCATGATTATGAAGTGATGGGTGATGATGAAATCACACCAGATGGAGAATTAGTTCATTTTGCTTTACTTGCAGGTGCTGAACCAATCAACTATAGCGAAACTTTGAAGATTAACAAGTGGAAGTTAGCTATGGTCGAAGAGTTACAGGCAATCGAAATAAACAACACATGGGAGTTAGTCGAATTGCCAACACATACAAAAGCTATCGAAGTAAAGTGGGTGTTCAAGTTGAAACACAATGCAAATGGGTCAATAGCAAGACATAAAGCAAGATTAGTAGCTCGAGGTTTTCTTCAAAGAGCAGGACTTGACTACTCTGAAGTATTTGCTCCAATAGTAAGATTAGAGACTGTTCGACTAGTAGTAGCATTGGCATGCAACTAAGGTTGGCCAACATTTCATCTAGATGTGAAATCAACATTTTTGAATGGTCCTTTAAACGAAGAAGTTTATGTCACATAACCTCCTGGGTTTGTGATTCAGAAGGAAGCGAGTAAAGTATATAGATTGCACAAAGCGCTCTATGGCCTCAAGCAGGCACCTAGGGCATGGAACAAGAAGATTGACTCATACTTAGTCGAATTAGGATTTGTCAAATGCAAATCAGAGTATGGTGTCTATGTTCAGGTTGTAGAACAAGATATAACAATCATTTGCTTGTATGTTGATGACTTGCTAGTAATTGGAAATAGTTTGGAGAACTTGTCGAAGTTCAAAGAGCTGATGACGAAGGAATTTGAAATGTCGAATCTAGGAAAATTGTATTATTTTCTAGGCATGGAATTTCAAATGTCGAAGCAAGGTATGGTGCTACATCAAAGAAAGTATGTCAAAGAAATACTCAAGAGATTCAGAATGGATGATTCGAATCCTGCATCCTCACCTGTCGAACCAAATGTGAAGTTGGAGAAGAATGAAGAGGAAGACAAAGCCGATGAAATCCTGTTCAAGCAAATTGTGGAATCTCCGAGGTATGTGTGAAATAGTCGACCTGATTGGTGTGGAGATAAGGAAGATCGAAGAAGCACAACTGAATATTTTTTTCAAGTATTTGGTGCCTCAATCTCATGGTGTTCGAAGAAGCAACCTGTTGTGACATTGTCATCATGTGAAGTTGAATATATAGCGGAATTCTATGCTGCATGTCAAGTAATTTGGATCAGATCTGTACTTGAAGAAATGACTGTCGAAGTAAAAAAACCTCTAGTACTGCAAATCAACAACAAGTCAGCCATAAATCTGGCGAAGAATCCAGTTCTGCATGGAAGAAGTAAATATATTGAAGCAATATTTCACTTCTTGAGGGAAAAAGTAAATCAAGGTGAACTTGAAGTTAGGCATTGCTCAAGTGAAGCACAATTGACCGACATTTTCACCAAATGATTAAAGATAGACAAATTCCTGAATTTGAGAAAGAAATTAGGAATAGTTCAGATTGACTATTTTTGAGGATGTTCGACAACTTGGATTATGGGGGTGTGTTGAAATATTAAATTAGATTAGATTAGATTTGATTAGATTTAATATTTAATATAATCCAAATTGTGTTAGCCCGAGCCTAATTAAGATTGTATATAAATAGTCGTAGTATGTATCATTATTTATACACTTGAATAATACAAATTCTTATTTCTTTTATTATTTTGTCTTTCTCTCCTCACTAAAAATGTCTTACGCACTAACAATCTAACCTACTCTAATACCAATTTAATATCAAATAGAACTTAATAAAATTTACACACACTAATTGAAAAGGAGAGACAGTAATTTGATAACAAATTCACTTGTTATTTCTAACTTGATATATTTTTCTACATGTACATAATGCATGCCTTTTATAGGCTTCTCTATGCTTAACAACTAAATTACTTTGTCTTGGGCACTAAGCAAAGCCATTGGCGGTTGTTGCATGTTGCTCCAATGACATTCTTTCTTAATGGCTAAGAATGACATAAGGCTAAGGCTATATGGCGATGATGAAAACGGCCCACTAATATTCTTTCTTAATTTGTAAGTTTTAATGTTAATGAACAACACATGTGGCTTCTAAGTTCTTCTAGGCAAGACTACTTTAATTTTCCAACTCTTCTCATAACTTCTACATAATTTCTACATCATGCTTGATTTAATTATTTCAACAATAATGATGTAACATATTTCTTTTGTTCAACATGCAACTTTTGAATACAGCTGCATCAACCTCAGTTGCTGCACCAGTAGCAAAGAACAGGGTTGCTCAAGTTGAACCAACCTCCGGTGACGATGGTGAAATAGATGATAAACTATAAGCTAGGTTAGATAACCTAAGAAAATGTGATATATGCACGTGTTTTTGGATAAGCATTTCATAGAAGCATGAAAATAGTCACATTGTGTTTTTCTGGTTTGGAGCTATCTTATCTATTGATTTGAAGTGTGAAGGGATGAAAAGAAGGATTACATATGCATCAGACTCAAATAGAATAGAAGAGGGTGTAGAAGATTTTATTATTCGTGCTATCGTTGATGTACAGTTAAAATATTGATCATCAAATTCACGATAATCCCCTTTTTTATATTTAAACCCAAATTTATTTTTCTAATTGTTTATCTTTGTGTTTATGTTTAATTGTGTTTACAAATTTCAGTTATACAATTAGGGTTTTGTTTTTGTTTTTGTTTGATTTGCTTATAAAGTTAGCGTTTTGATTTTGTGGTTAGGGTTTTTTGGTTGATTTCATGATTTTGATTTTGATTTAGTTTTTGTTGTTTCAGATTTAGAGGTGTTGGCTCAAGTGAAAGAGAGAAGATTCGCGACGGTTTGGTAAGAAATACTTCACTTTTTATATTTTAGATTTGACTGATTGGTTCAAACTGTTTGGAGATTTTACCTCGAGGATTTGATGATTTTAGATGTGTTTTATTGTGATTGTGAATTTTGATTTGAGTTTTTGATTTTCATTGTGTGATTTGTTAGATCGGTTTTTAGATCTGTAATATTTTATTTGTGTGCGTGTTATTTTTATTTTAGATGTGTTTCGATTTAAGAGAATAGGTGGAGGAGTTATTGGTGTCTCACCGATGAGTTTGGGAATGGATGGAGGGTCAATTAATAATAATAGAGGTAGGCCTATGAAATATGGCCCAAATGGGCCGGTAACTGGTGTGGCGTTATCGCCTTTGCCGATCTCGTCTTCAGGTCCTTCTACAAAACTAATATTTCACTTTTTTGAATTAATTTTAGTCATTCATCTACTACAGATCCAAAGATGAAAATGTTCTATAGTGTTGCGGAAGGAGTCTTCTTTTGGAGGTCCTATGAATTTGAGTTCTCCTTTCTTCTGTTTCTTCCGGATTCGTTGTTTCCTTTATTTTGTAATGTTATTCGTAGGTTATTGCAGTAGAGGCTGTCCGAGGAACAAATTGGTGGTTTGAAAGAGTTTTTCAAGAAGTGATTCTGAAATATGTGAGTTTCGTAATACTTTCATCAATAAATAACCTTCATTAATTTTGTATCGAGTGTTGTTACACCCAAGTTGCAACAAAATTGCCACAACAAAGGCGACACTGATATTAAAAATATGGCACTGTCTTTGTTAATCTGTTATTGCAAAGAGTATCAAGAGCCAGCTCTGCACATAGTCGATTGTTCATTCTGCTGCAGAATTAGATGATATGACAATTTAGGCTTCTCTTTAATCATGTGCATCCCTGTGAGTATTTTGAAACAAATGAAAGATGGGGTGCAAACAATATGATTAGTTTTTTATAAATCTTTTGCTATTTCTACCTTTTTGATCCTACATTACGTCGTGGTATTCCACTCTGCCACTGATATACTATTAAACCATGTTCATGTTGTTTACAGTTTGTCCATGTTTAAAGTTTCTTGAATTAATTATATTTGTTTATGTGGTTATTTGAATTGTCCATGTCCCTTTTCAAAAGCATCTCTCGGACTCTAACCCCTGTATTCATCCACTCAACAAGATGAGAATGAGTTGTATGATTGTTATACGTTAACCGGAGCAATTGGGTTGGATAGTTATATGATAGTAAAAGAATAAATAAAATTTACAATGGGTTTGGTTAGCGGTTTATGAAGTTGAATTAGTTAGTAGGATTTGTTATGAATGTTCCAGTAGGAATTGAATTTTGGTTTAGTTAGGATTAGGAGAGTGAGGTGAGCTATGACAGCTCGTTGACTTGATGTTCTAATGGTTTTGCTTGTGCAATATAGGTTCTGCATATATGGCTGAGGTGTGATCTCTTGTGGTCTGATCTCGATGATCGTTGTGGTTTAGGAATATCTCCACGCAGTGCTAGATATACATTCGGACAAGATATAACCACTCAGTTAAATCATACAAATGGTCTCATTGATATCTAGAGGTCATCAGCTCGTGATGGAAGGATACAATTGGTGTCAGGTGGGTGACCTAACATTCAAAGTATACCCGTTTTTAAGATACCTCCTATTATGCTCTATGTATTGACGATTGTATTGATTACTGTTTTATGAGACGAATGTGGTGACTGTTTTTAGTGCTCCAAATTACTGCTACCGATGTGGGAATATGGTTGTGATTATGGAAATTGGGGAGAATATAGATCAAAATTTTCTGTAGTTTGATCCAGCTCTAAGGCAAATTGAGCCCGACACTACATGAAAGACACCAGATTATTTTTTTTTAACTTCATATATGTCTTTGTATGTAGTTATTTCCTTACGCGGTTACTGTAGATTTGTATTTAAGAAAAAGAGGGTTATCATTGTTGGATGCGGTAAAGCGACAAACAAAAAATAAGTTATTAAATTATCGAGTGATATTTAGGTTATATCGTATCCTGTCCACAAAGATTGGTGAGAGAGAAAAACTATTGTTCAACAGTTTCAATCCTTCTAAGTTTGGAAAAGGGGTTTCCGGAAAAAGTGCAGGAAAAGTAAATAAAGCAGTAAAGAAAGTGATAAACAATCATCTGCAGCCTAAGAGAATTCATTCTGGAATCGCATTTCACTCTACCCGTCAAATACTTAAACTTGTTGATCAATTGCACACGACCTAAATCACTTGTCAATACCATCATGTATCTCTCACACTAAGGCTATCTCAAACGCAAAGTGAGACATCACTCGTATTGCTCTTATCTATGATCTCTCAACTGACTCAAATAACTCGAATGCATTTCATAACAGATACCCACATGAATATTAAGCCTAAATCTATGTCTTGTGTCTATAAGATCTAATAGATATTCATTCAAGAAAGAGATTCAGAAAACATATGTCTATGAAAAATCAAAACTCTGCGATTAAGAAAAAATCAAGAATAAACACCGGTATTAATTTGTAAAAGAGATTTCATACAATCCCATGATAAACAAATATACATACAATAAAAGTAAAGATATACATACAACACCCACCATAGGAATGATACATATGGAAGAAGGAGATGAATAGGAAACTTCTCGCGGTTTCAACACGATCTGAGACCACCCATAGCCAATCAACATGATGAAAAATCCAACGATGTTGCTTGAACCTCTAAGCTATAAAGAATTGGATCAAAGCTCTTCCAAGAGGGAAAGAGTTGATAAAAACCTAAAAATCCATTTCTAAACTATTTATACAAAATTGATCTAAGCAGACCGCGCTTAGCGGGCTCACCGCGCTAAGCAGGCTACACGATATTTACACATTGAATCAACCTAAACCGCGTTAAGCGCGCTATCCACACTAAGTGGGCTCCCAAACTAAGCTTCTTCCAAAATGTCAAAATGCAAGCAGCGCTCTACAAAATGCGATGAGCGCACTTTCACTTAGCGGCCTTTTGCGCGCTAAGCGGGCTCTCCTGGACAAAACTGGTATTTTATTATGAAAACACGCATCTGAAGTCGTGCCTTCGACACCTTATTTCTCGATGCTCCAAAATGCAACAAATACCTACAAAATGAATGGAAAAACATCAAACGGTACACTATGTACATAAAACACAAACTAAACATATTTACTAAAAGTTGGGTTTATTCAACCGATATTAATAACAAAGAGTCTATAAGTGCAACAAAAAATATATACAAAAATAGATACAATTTTCACTTACCAACCTCTCCCCAACTTGAACTTGTTTATCCTCAAACAAGGCCAAACAACTTAAAGAAAAAAAAGTAATTAACCAAAATATCATGAATCAATAAGTTTTAAAACGGAAAATAAATGTATGGTTCAAACAAAAACGTACACGCAAGGTAAATACTTACCACAATCCTACAACGACAACATGTGAACAAAATGAATCCTAAGTACAAAAATCATACTAAACATTCTAAAACAAAACAAGTTCAATCATAAATCACACCTAGTAAAAATTCATCGTTAGATGAAGAACACACAAAGGTGAGGGACAAAAAACACTCATCCACAATCTTGCAAACCATATACTAAATCATGCATTCATCCAAAAACGCATATTGAAAATACAAAAGCAAGAATAACAAGGGCTTTTCAAGGTTGTAATGTGGTTTGGTTAACAAACAAGGAACAAATCCTAAAGCTAATCGAAATAAAAACTTTCCTTAACCTAAGGGAGTGATCAACTCACAAAGACTCAAGCAAAATAATTTCAATCAAACTTCTTCTTCATTCCAAATTTCCAACCAACACACATCACTTATTTTCACAACATTATTCGAACTCTTTTTGTTTTTGTTTTTCAATTTTTTTTCTCTTTTTTCTTTCTTTTTCTTTTCTTTCTTTTTCATATTTTTTTCTTTCTTTTTCTTTATTTTTCTCTTTCTTTCTCAACCTCATAGTAATACACACAATCACATAAACATTTCTCTCCCCCAACTTGAATTCAACCATATCATAATGTGAATACTTCCTACTTTCTAAGGCAAGGTAAAAATTCAAACCATAAATCATAGTTGAGGGTTCAAGAAAAAAAGAATCAATATCCATAAAAAATATAAACTAAACACTCATAGACAAGCATTTAGCAAAAACAACATGGACATCGACAAAAAAGTCAAAAGGGGTTACTAATAATCACATACTCACAAGGTGAATTGACTATTTGGCCAAGGTAGTTGTACTCAAAATGAAACAAAAAATGCATTGATCATGTTCATGCTTTCATACAATTAACACAAACAAAATATTAAACATAATAAAATTCAGTTAAAACAAGAATTGTGGCCTCTAGCATATATGAACAATGGAAAGCTTCCTCACATTTATGGGTAAAAAGGGAACTAAAGTGATTCAAGTCATGAGCAAGTAATGCAAAAAGAATGATAGGTATGGTAATTATACAAATGATAAATTTCCTAAACATGTTATATTATAGAAAGTGATAAATGAGTACCAACTTCAAAAACTACCATTATCATACATTTGCAAGTTGAAACACTCAAAATCAGAAAATCACCAAAAACGACCTCAAGCCATCGAACCAAAATTTGAGTCCAAACAACAACAAAAGAATTATTTAAAATAATACTATTATTAATTACTAATACAAAGCCTTGGTGAAAGTGGGAAAAAAGGAGAGGCAAGTGAAATAAAAAGTTTCACTGGCACAACTCAGGAGAGCGCGTTAAGCGTGCAACACCAGAAGCAAAAAAACCAGGACAACAATATGAAGTCCAACAACACCCTCCACAATCACCTACACTATCCTCATTTACACATCTAAACAACATTTACAACATAAACACAATTCCACAAGCTAAACACGACAAGATTGCGGAAAACCACAAAAAACAACAATATAAAATAACTAATATAAACATACTAAGAGAATGAGTAAAAATTGATAGTTGTAAAGTGAAAATTAGTGAAATTTACGAATAATCCGAATACAACTTATTTAATGAGTGTTCACCATACTACCTAAACTAGAATAAAAATTAACAACAAAACAAAAAATGATAAAACATGCTTATTTTACGTCGTAAACTCGACGCTTGTTATTTACAAAATAACATATTTCTTCGAACGAGCCAAACGCCTTACTTCCGCCTTCGCTCAAATATCTTCAAGCTCTAATTGGAACTACACATCTAACCACACTTTGGCAAACGTGAAACAAAACAAGTATACTATATACAAATGTATAAATCACGTAAATGTACAAAATAAACAATTATGGAGAAAATATACAAATACACATTATAGGCATATTTACGAAACTTAGAAAGCAAAAATATCGCGATGTAGTTAATATCAACACCAATCCCCAACAACGGTGCCATTTTGTTGGATGCGGTAAAGCGGAAAGCAAAAAGTAAGTTATTAATTTACCGGGTAATATTTAGGTTATATCGTATTGTATCCACAGAGATTGGTGAGAGGGAAAAACTATCGTTCAACAATTTCAATCCTTCTAAGTTTGGAAAAGGGGTTTGCGAAAAAAGTGCAGGAAAAGTAAATAAAGCAGTAAAGAAAGTGATCAACAATCATCTGCAACCTAAGAGAATTCATTCAGGACTCGCATTTCACTCTACCCGTCAAATACTTAAACTTGTTGATCAATTGCATACGACCTAAATCACTTGTCAATACTATCACGTATCGCTCACACTAAGGCTATCTCTAACGCAAAGTGAGACATCACTCGTATTGCTCTCGTCGATGATCTCTCAACCGACTCAAATAACCCTGATGCATTTCATAACCGATACCCACATGAATATTAAGCCTAAATTTATGTCTAGAGTCTATGACCTAATAGATATTCATTTAATAAAGAGATTCAGAAAGCATATGTCTACGATAAACTGAAACTCCGCGATTAAGCAAAAATCAAGAATAAACACCAGTTTTAATTTGTAAAAGAGATTTCATACAATCCCATGATCAACAATGTACATACAATAAGAGTAAAGATATATATACAACATCCACCATAGGAATGATACATAGGGAATAAGGAGATGAATAGGAAACTTCTCGCGGTGTCAACACGATCTGAGACCACCCATAGCCAATTGACATGATGAACTACCAAATGATGTTGCTTGAACGTCTAAGCTACAAATAATTGGATCAGTTCTCCTCCAAGAGGGAAAGAGTTGATAAAAATCTAAAAAATATGTTTCTAAACTATTTATACAAAACTAATCTCAGCAGACTGCGCTTAGCAGGCGCATCGCACTAAGCGGACTGCGCGATATTTACACACTAAACCAACCTAAACTGCGCTAACAACACTATTTGCGCTAAGCGGGCCCCAAAACTAAGCTTATGCCAAAATGTCAAAACGCAAGCAGCACATTGCAAAATACGTTGAGCGCACTTGCGCTTAGCGGCCTTTTGCGTGCTAAGCAGGCTCTCCTGGGCAAAACTTTTCAAAACAAGTCTTTTATTCCAAAAATGTGCATCCA